AGGATATGAAGAAAATGGAACCCTCATCTATTGCCAGTAGGAATGTAAAATAGTAGAACCACTTTAGAAAATAGTTTGACAGTTTCTTGAAAAGTTAAACCTAACAACTCACCAAGTTCGTAGACTGAATGACCCAGCAATTCTACCCTTAGGTATCTATCCAAGAAAAAGGAAAACATATGTACACACACACACGCATACACACACAGAAAAGAAGCTTGTATACAAGTGTTCACAGCAACATTACTCCTAACAGTGAAGACCCGGAAACAATTCAAATGTCCACAAACTCATGACTGGATAAACAAAATGCAGCAGAGCCTGGCAATGAAACACTACTCACCCATAAAAAGGCACAAACTACTGATAACATGCTATATCAACAAGCCAACATCAAAAACATTATGCTAAGTGAAAGAAGCCAGACATAAAAGATGCAGGAGTGCATTTATATGAAATGTCCAGAAAAAAACAAATTTATAGCAACAGAAGGATTAGTGGTTACCTGGGGCTGGGTGTGGGAGTGGGGAGTGACTGCAAATAGGCACAAAGGGTCTTTTTAGGTCTTTTGAACAAATGTTTTAAAATCCAATTGTGGTGGGACACCGGGGCGCCTCAGTGGTTGAGCATCCACCTTTGACTCAGGTCGTGATCCCGGGGTCCTGGGATGGAGTCCTGCATCAGGTTCCCCAGGAGTAGCCAGCTTCTCTCTCTGCCTGTGTCTCTGTCTCCCTCTGCATCTCTCATGAATAAATATTTTTTTTTAAAAATCCAATTGTGGGGATCCCTGGGTGGCGCAGTGGTTTGGCGCCTGCCTTTGGCCCAGGGCGCGATCCTGGAGACCCGGGATCGGATCCCACGTCGGGCTCCCGGTGCATGGAGCCTGCTTCTCCCTCTGCCTGTGTCTCTGCCTCTCTCTCTCACTGTGTGCCTATCATAAATAAATAAAAATTTAAAAATAAATAAATAAATAAAATAAAATAAAATAAAAAATCCAATTGTGGTGACAGTTTCTCAACTCTAAATTTCTAAAAATCAAAAGGTTGAATTTTACATGTAAAAGACATCTCAAAAACGCTATTAAAAAAAAAAAAAAAAAGAGGGACACCTGCGTGGTTTAGTGGTTGAGTGTCTGCCTTCGGCTCAGGGCATGATCCTGGGATCCAAGATAGAGTCCCCACATTGGGCTGCCTGCGTGGAGCCTGCTTCTCCCACTGCCTGTGTCTCTGTCTCTCATGAATAAATTTAAAAAAAAAAAATAAATAAAAAGAAAAATCACCATCACTGAATAATCTTTCCAAAGCGCCACTCCTAATTATAGACTTGCAATGTTGCCTCCAAGGAAACATATAGACAGCCTTCCCCAGCCCTCAGAGTCCATCACCTGTTCAGCCTCAACATCCCAACCCCAGTGTGGCTGCCAAGTACATGGCCTGTGGAGCTGGAATGTCTAGCATCCAGCTCTACCACTAACCAGCTGTGACCTTGGGTTACTTCACCTCCTTGAACCTGTGTCCTATCTGAGATGGGGAGAACAGCTCACAAGGTCAGCGAGGGGAAGGTCTGAGCTAGTGCTCAGAAAACACAGCTCAGCCCACACTTCTCATGCCTGGCTCTGGTGCATCTTCAGTGTCCCTTCCTCAGGGTGGCAGTGTCTGCCGTCCCACCTCCAACAGGGAGTCCCCGTTATTTTGCACACTTTTGTTTCCTTCAGCACACTTGCAGTGCTTTTTTATTCTTTTGACTTTTTCTTCCTTTTGGTCTGTTCCTGCTACTGGGCTGAGGTTTCCATGAGGGCGAGATCTTGTGCTTCATCCCTTACTGTCTCTGCAAGGCCAGGCCCAGTACCTAACAAGTAACGTGTTCGTATTTATTGAGGTGACAGGTTAAGTGGTGGCTAGTGGGACAGTGCTCAGGCATAGGGCTTCTCTGGCAATGGCATGTTTGGGGACTATTTCTTGTGCATCTTTCTAAATCCTCCTTGGTCCTCCCCTAAAGCAGTGGTCCAAACTTGCCTCATGGAAAACAATGGACAATGGTAAATGTGATGTAGCCCTGAGAGTGTAATGAGCCTGGGGACATAAGGATCATGCAGCAGGCCAGGAAGTGACTTGGAAAGAATGGCAGGCAGCTGAGCAGTTGGAAGGGGAAAAGGCTGGAGAACAGTGAGTCTACATGTTGAAAAGCAACCAACTTTATCTGTATTACCAAATATGGCTGTTTACATGGGGCAAGGAGGAAAAGTGGGCACACACAGGACATTATGACCATGCATGCACCTTCTCTCATTGGAGGATGAGGTTAAATAGACTGGATAAAATGAAATCTTTATGTATTTCACACATGCTTGCTCTGAAGACTGCAGTTGAATATAATTGCAGCATTTTGCATTAATTAAATTTCTTTTACCTTCCTTGGAATTAGGGCTTGAACTCAATATGTAAATTTATGCAAATAAATTGCAAAGTAGCAAGGCCCTAGAACTGAATCTTAAGGAAACTAGAGCACTTTCCAAGATCAGGGCCTGGGGATTAAATATGAGTGTCTTTAAGAATATTTAACTTTCTCTGAAGAACCTGGGGCAGATACTCTTCTCTGGCATCTATCTTCTATTAAAGTAACTTCTCATTTGGTTCATCTAACGATCTCTACTGATTTTTACTTGCCTGCTTAAGGAGAAGGTGGACTCCCCAACCCTCAAGTAACTCTACTAGTAGAAAAAACCCCTACACCAAACACTTCATTACCATCACTTCCTTTTTCAAATCTCCCTCCCCAAAACCAGGCACACAAGTGCGAGGGAGGAAGGAGAGGAAGGAGAGGAAGGAGAGGAAGGAGAGGAAGGAGAGGAAGGAGAGGAAGGAGAGGAAGGAAGGAGAGGAAGGAGCTCTCATAGTATGGGGCCATACTCTGGGCAAGTCATTCTTCTCTCTGATGAATCTGCCCAGCATTCAGTCACCAAAGCTCCCTTCAGCTTCAACAGTCTCTGGGAGAAAACAAGTGGGGTACCAGTACCGTCAGAACAGGCAGAGGCTGTGACACACAATTTTCAGGCTGCCTTGCCTATTACTTAGGAAAGGAGCCTGGAGTAGTGAGAAAAGGCTGTTTCTTGCACTCAAAAGATCTGGACTCAAGTCCCATCAGCCAATCAGGTAACGCCCTGAACAAATTCTTTAACAGCTCTAAGCCTGACTCTCCATCTTTAACAAGAACTTCTACTTTGCAGAATTGTTAAGGGCACTAGAAACAAAATATAGTAGTCTGATATGATGGCCCCCAAAATGATCTTCTGTCAACTCAGAGGAACTCCCCTTCAAAAGGACCCCCTTGAATCTCAGGAGACCCTGACTGACCTAACCTTCCAAACTTCCCAAACACTGGATACCAGGTGACAAAGGTGAGAGCCCCCAAACAGAGCCAAGGGTGTTCTTCTAAATTCCAGTTCAGGCTCCTACTTCTCAACCTTCAAACATGGGCCATCTGCTCCCCATGCTGTCTTCTCTCGAGCCCGGTCAAGACTAGATAACATCTAGCAAGCACCCACTGTGCTAAGCACTAGACTAGACTAAGAACAGAGGCCATCACAAAACACAAGCATTTCTAAGCACTTCCATATACATCCTCATCTTATCCTAGGCAGTACCTAGGATTATGCAGCCTCCCCTAATTTTCTTTAAAATGTGGTCATTGAGACTCAAAAGAGAAGTCGTTCACCCAAGGCCACATAGCTAATAAGCATCTGCCCGGAAGTCAGACCTCCTGATGTCTTTTTCTGAGCTACTCTCTAATTAATTTGCCTATACTCAGCTCTGCATTCTGTTTGGATTTGGTCGCTGTTTCACTGGGCTTATCCATTTAGCCACCCAACAATCATTTACAAACCACAGTGTGCCAGGCACAAGTGCATGAAGTGCAGCATTCAGTCAGCAGGCCCTGGGGTTGGCCTGCTTCAATCGCAGCTCTTCCTCTTGTTGACCTGGGCTGAGTTACGTCATCTCTCAGTGTCTAATTTGTCCTTAGTCTGCAAAATGGGCAGACAGTGTTCTACCTCTCTCACCGGGCTGCTGAAAAGTAAAGGAGAGGTCGCCTGTAAAGGGCTCAGGGGAACCCATGGTCCCCACTAAGCAGTCGAATGTGAGCTGCTTTTAGACTTCTCCTAGGTTCTGGAGATGGAGTCTTGACTCAGAAATGAAGCTTAGCCTCAAGGAGCTTACACGTGGTGGGAAACACAGTAAATAATCAAGTTTCCAATGGTGACGCCTACTAGGAAAAACAATGTGTGACGGAGGGAGGGGGCTACTTGAGGTGACTGGCCACCGAAGAGTGCTCAGGTGATCCTCACCCCGCCAACAAGAGGCAGATCCAGGAAAAGCTGGGGGAGTAAAAACCACCAACGCAGAGGTGGCCAGAGGTGGCCAGAGGTGGCCGCTCGGCGCCCACCAGGCCAACGCCTCACAGTCGCAGTCGGAAGGCGGGTGAAGGCGGGTGAAGGCGGGTGAAGGCGGGTGAAGGCGGTGGACTGCGCCAGGCCTCCGCGGGGCGGGGTGAGGGGAGCAAGGGGGGTTTGTGATCGGATCCACAACGTTTAACTGCTCCTGGGCTGCGGCGTCGACGGGCGGGGAGCCTAGGTCGGAGGCGGCGGCGGCGTCCACGCCTGGAGGCGTCTGGGGCGCAGAGCTGCAGTGCGGAGAGCCAGGTGCGCCCCAGGGCAACGGCAGCTGAAGGGGGCCTCCCGCTGCCCGCCCTCGCCCTCGCCCTCGCCCTCGCCCTCGCCCTCGGCCTCGGCCTCGGCCAGCGGGCGTGCCGACGCGCCGCTCCCGGACGGCGGCCCCGGGCATCCCCCGGCCCTCGGGCCTCGCCGCCGCGGCGCCGGGACGGTCAACGAGCGAGGCGCGCCCGCCCGCTCCCGGCCCGCCCCTCCCCTCAGGCCGGCCCGCGCCCTCCACGCCCACCCGGCCCAGGCCGCGCTCGCTCGTCGCGCCGGCCGGCGGCCCGCTCACCCGGATGCCCTGCAGCACCCGGACCCGCTCCTCCTCGTCCATCCCGAAGGACACCCTGCGGGCCTCGCAGCTCTCGGTGCTCCCCATGGCAGGAGGAGAGCGGGCGGGCGGGCGGGCGGCCGCGAGACCCGGCTCCAGAGCAACCGGGCGGACGCCGGGCTGCGGCTCCCTGCGCGCCCCGCGCTGCCCGGGACTCGGCGTGCGCACAAGCCAGCAAGACCCCGTCCTATTGGCCGCCGCTGCCAGCTCAGCCAATCCTGCGGCGCGTGCCTGAGGGGCATTGTGGGGGTTGTAGTCTGGACCGCCTGGGCTGCCCGTCTGTCGCCGAGGGACCACGCGGAGGCGTGGCGCCCGCACGGTGGGAAGAGCGGGTCCGAGTGCAGCAGGCAGGCCGGGGAGGGTCGCCCTTGAAGCAGAGCCAGGGGCGATGTTGAAAGGCCAGGAGCCCCCCGAGGAGCTGAGCCCGCCGTGCGAGGGCGACCTTGGTTCATTCAGCAAACTCCTTTTGAGCAGCGCTTACCAAGACGGAGCAAGCATTGAACCAGCCGCGGGGAACAACGAGACGTCCTGCCTTCGTGAGATTTAGACATAATGGAAGGAACAAATGAAAAGACAAACAAGCAAGCACATAAATAAGCTTACTGACCACTGTGATAAGTGCCGGAAATGGAAAGGACTATCACAGTGCCCCGTGAGAAACTAATAGGAGGGGGTCCCTAATGTGACAGACCAGAGCAACCTCTCTGAGAAAGAAGGATTTGAATTGAGACATAAGGGTAAGTAGGAGTTAGCCAGGAGAAGATGAGGGAAGCACTTGGCTGGGAACTAACCAGTGCAAAGGCCCTGAGACAGGGAAGACCTTGCCACATTTAAGAAATAGAGGGCTTAGCCACACGACTGAGAAGTGCAAGGGAGCAGAAGAAAGCCAGAGGCAAGAAGGTGTGGGGAGCAGGAACGTCTCACATCACTAGGGCCTTATAGGCAGGTCAGAGTTTTATTCTATTTTTTTTAAGATTTTATTTATTTATTCATGAAAGACACGCACACAGAGAGGCAGAGACACAGGCAGAGGCAGAAGCAGGCTCCATGCAGGGAGCCGGATGCGGGACTCAATCCTGGGACTCCAGGATCACGCCCTGGGCCAAAGGCAGACGCTAAACCGCTGAGCCACCCAGGCGTCCCCAGAGTTTTATTCTAAATACCCTGTTAAGGCGGTGAATCCTCATAAGCGTTGAGGAAACATTGGTCAGGGAGCATACATGTCATGCATTGAGGGCAGTGTATCAAGCACTGTGTTTATGCTTACACAGGATCATATGTGTGGTGGAGGAACACAAATGATTGTGATTTATAGCCATAGTGACATTGAATGAAGCCTCGTTTTGTTCAACCAAGTTGCTAAATGGCTTTGATTTACAAAGTGGGCCTGGAGCTGAGTTTGAAATCTTGAACTGAGAAACCCTAAATTGCTACATGAAATAGCAAGAGTCATTTGGAGCTGCTTTTGGGAACCTGGAAAAGAAGGAGTGAGAGGAGAGAGTGAATGAGAGAGACCAATGAGAATTAGGAAGCCAATGAACATTCCAGAGGTAGAGCCAGAGGATTTTTATGAACAAGGATATCTGCTACTTCCATTCAAAATACTTTGATTTGTAAATCTCTCTCCTTCCTTTCTGTCCTCCATTTCTTCCATATAAGCAGAGCGGGAGAAGGTGATTCTGACTCAAGTGGCTTATTGGAAGGTGCCTCAGGAGAAAGAAAGTAAGAGAACAGGATGAAGTGGGGTCAAAGCTGGAGACTGGCTTCCGCCTAATGCTAGGCAGGGCTGGGTGGGGGCAAGGCTCTGGAGAACAAATTAAATCCAGAATTAGCCTCATCCTACAACAAGGGGACAGGCCTTCTGTCCCCCATGTCAGTCAATTATTGGCAGCCCAGCACAATTCCCCAGTGAAGGGGGCATCTGTGAGTTGCCAATAGCCACAACCACAGACGCTGGGGGATGGCCCCACCAGCTGGTAAAAAAACCTGGGTGGGGAACTTTAAGCATCCACTACTCCACTACATGCTCCACATATTTTTGAAGGTCTCCCAAACACTCAAACACCTATGTCTGTGGAGGGAGGCTTGTGAAAAGTTGAGAAAGGAATGGATTTCACTTCTGGGTCAGATGATGAAATAACACACTGAACTGATTCTGCAAAATGAGAGTCAGAACCACATGCCTGAGCTTGGTATGTGGCCTCCCCCGCCGCCACTGTGTGCAACATCCCAGGAGAGAATCAGAATTGCACAAGACGTGGAGTGGGGGTTATGGTGTCAGCAGCCAAGCTGGGTCTCATGACAACCCAATAAGTTCTGTACTCCTGTTTCACAGTTGAGAAAACTGACAAGCAAATGGAGGAAGATAACATGACATTATAAATCCAAAATAGGATGAGAGTTTGAATAAAGACAATAGCACAGGGATGCAAAGGAAAAGAAGGGAGGGGTGATTTATATTTTTTGAAGGCTTTCTTGGTGCCCGGTTCTATGACAGGAGCACCTTGTGGGCGGTTAATCCAGGATTAATTCATCTAGTCCTGGAAATCATCCAGAGAGAGTTACTGCCCCACTGTGAGGCTCAGGAAAGTGAAGCTCTGTGGGGGGGAGGGGGAGGTATTTTAACAGGCCCACTAGATGCTGCTCAGTACCCACCCTATCCTTCCTTACAACAGAGGCCCAATTTCTTTCTGTGCAACAATGTGCCTGGTTAGAAAAATTTGCCCCGCACTGGCCAAACTTTGAAAAATCTGAGCTTTATGACAATTTGACAATTTGAGCTTATAGCAATTTGAACTTAAATCCAACAGTCCATGTGTTAAAAGGGAGGGGGACAGGGGCAGGGGAAAGCTTTACAAAAAGAATGCCAGCAAATCAATGTAAGATTTAAAAATCACCATTTTGCAAGCCTCAGTAAATTAACTGAATCAGGCAAAACTCATCAATGGATACTAACACCATTGAGTGAAAGTGGTTGGAGAACAAGACACTCAGGTAACCTGCAAGTTTCACCAGAGATTTCTTAATTATTACAAAGGGAAAGCTGTATCACAATGATGAGACCTGGGAGTCACTGCCTTAACCATCTGGTCACATTTAGCATACCAAGAGGAGGACAACCTGACTTCATGTCTGTCCCCATGTGATGCAATAAGGAACACACAAAGATCCTGTGGGGTATTGTTGTCAAAAATGTGTGATCTGAATCTAATCGCAAGAAAACAATAATCAAGCAAATCCATGATGTGAAACCTCTTGCAAAACAACTGTCCTGGACTCTTCCAAAAGGTCAACGTCACGAAAAACAAAACAAAGAAAAGGTAGCTTAAAAGAGATGAAAGAAGAACAATGAACTGCATCTGAGAATCTTGATGAGATCCTGGATAAAAATGACAAAAGTGAAAATGACAGCAAAGACGCTGTAAAGAGGGAACGTGGTATGATTGGGAAAGTTTTAGATATGGAACAAGGTCCTAGGTGATATTATCAAATTAATGCTTATTTTCTTGTTCTTGGGAGATGCATGCTGAAGTGTTTGGGGGTGGAGTGTCATATTTATGCAACTTGCATTCAAATGTTTAAGAAAAAAAATTCATGATAGGTGAATCCAGGTGAAATATGTATTAGAGTCCATTATATTATTCTTTCACTCTTTCTATGATTTGAATTTTTCAGGATAATAAGTAAGAAGGAAAGAAAATTAAATTCTGCACTTGGGAAAAAATACTTCCCTCCTCAGGCTTTCTTGACTGTGACTTCATCCGGAGATGACCCTGTGATCTCACTCTAGCCAAGGAGGCACTTGAGCAATGTGGTACCTGGAGAACAGCACAGGGCCCGAGGAGAGCAGTGAGATATGATCATGTGAGATGAGTACAAGGTTGAAGTCTGCGTCTATCTAGACCTTTGCCCCAGCCATGTTATTGAGTATCTTTGCACTAAGTTTTCTGATAGATATGAGTGATGAGGAACATTGCACAGAATGCTTACCCAGAGCTCAGCCTTTAGTGAGTTAAGTCAGTGATAGCAATTTGTATCGAAAGATTTTGGTTTTAGAATTAATGCCTTGACAGCTAGTGTAGAGGGTGTGTTGGAGAGGGTCTTGTGTGAGCTAGCTTCTCTTAGATTGGGTTCTCCAGAGGCAAACAAGAGGAAGGGCAGGGCTGATAGAGTAGAAAAGTAGGAAAAGTAATTTGCTTTGTCCATGTTAAAAGCCAAAAGGAAGCTTTTTCCATAAGCTCAGGAAAAAAGACAAGGATGTCTGCTTTCATCACTTCTACTCAGTATAGTACTGGAGGTTCTAACCAAGGCAAAAAGATAAGAAAATGAAATAAAAGTCATCTAAATTGGAAAAGAAGTATCTCTATTTGCAGACGACATGGTCTTATATATAGAAATGCCGAAGGAATACACACATACACACACACTCAACAGAGCTAATAAGCAAGTTCAGCAAGGTTGAATAGAAGGTCAATATACGAAAATCAGTTCTATTTATAAACACTCACAATGAACAATCCAAAACTGAAATTAAGAAGATTTCATTTATGATAGCATCAAAAAGAATAAAACACTTAGCAATAAATTTAACCAAAGAAGTGCAAAACTTGTATCCTGAGAGCTATAAAACATTGTTATCTGGGAAAGGGAATGGAAATTGACAGGATAACAAAATTTAAGGGTATTGGCTACATGACATATACATTTATCAAGACTCATCAAGCTGTAAACTTAACACCTAGGCATTTTATAACATATAAATTATACCTCAAAAAAAGTCTAAAATATTTTGGGAGAGTTAACACCATAATGTTTCACGTCTCATCTGCGCAAAATGTAGGTGTGCGGGACTCGGCAATCCTGACTAGCCTGCCTGACTAGCAGAGGCTCCACTATGTTTTAACCACGCCAATCTGGAACACTGGCTTCTTTGGTCAACTCAGCAGGGCTTTAGTCAACTTAGCAAGGCAAGATTGGGCCTTATTTATGACTCAAAACCAAAGAAACCAAATAACCCAATTTAAAAATGGGCAAAGGACCTGAATAGACACTTCTCCAAGGAAGATATAGAAAAGGTCAACAGATACATGAAAAGAATCTCAACATCACTAG